TTGGTTTTTGTGTATGGTGAGAAAGTTCTAATTTTATTTTTTTGCATGTAGTTATTAAGTTTTCCCAGCATCATTTATTGACGAGACTGTGTTTTCCCATTGTATGTTCTTTATACCTTTGTCACAGATTAGTTGGTTGTATGTGCATGGATTTATATGTGGATTCTCTATTCTGTTCCATTTGTCTATTTCTATGCCAGGACTGTGCTGTTTTGGTACTATAGCTTTGTAGTAAATTTTGAAGTTAGGTAGTGTGATGCCTCCAGCTTTGTTCTTTTTGCTCAGGACTGCTTTGGCTGTGCAAGGTCTTTTGCGGTTTCTTACAAATTTTAGGAATTTTTCGATTTATGTGAAGAATGTCATTGGTATTTTGATAGGAATTGCATTGAATCTGTAAATTGCTTTAGGTAGTACTGTAATTTTAACAATATTAGTTCTTCCAATCCATCATCATGGAATCTCTTTCTGGGTTTTTATGTCCTCTTCAATTTCTTTTATCAGAGTTTTATAGTTTTCCTTGAATAGATATTTTACTTTTTTAGTTAAATTGATTCCTAGGTATTGTATATTTTTGTAGCTATTGTAAAAGGAACTGCTTTCTTGATTTTTACTCAGATTGTTCACTGTTGGCATATATAAATGCTGTTGATTTTTGTATGTTGATTTTGCATGCTGCAACTTTACTGATTCAGATCTAACAGCTTTCAGGTGGACTCTTTAGATTTTTCTAGGTGTAAGATCATGTAGTCTGCAAACAAAGCTAATTTGACTTCTTCCTTTCCAATTTGGATACCCTTCCTTTCTTCCTCTTGCCTGATAGCTCTGGCCAGGACTTCCTGTACTATGTAGAATAACAGTGGTGAGAGGGGTTATCCTTGTCTGTTTCAGTCCTTGGAGGAAAGGCCTTCATTTTTTCTGTGTTCAGTATGATGTTGACTGTAGGTTTGTTATATATGGCCTTTATTATTTTGAAATATGTTCCTTCTATATCCATTTTGGTGAGAATTTTTATCATAAAGGAATGTTGAATTTTATCAAATGCTGTTTCAGCATCTATTGAAATAAGTATACCATTTCTGTTAATGACTTATAATATTTAGATTGTTTTTAAAGACATAGGAAATGGGTTAGATCTCCTAAAGAGGGAAGATGGAAAGAGAACGAAAGAGGGTCCAGAATATAGCCCTGGGGATTTCCAGCACTTATGGTGGAGGGAAAGGAGACATCAGAGGAAACTCAGAGTGGCCAGATAGAAAGGGAGGAAAAAGCTTAATAAGGTGGTATCATGAGAAGAGAGTCTTTCTGGAAGGAGAAATGCTTACTCTTGATAACAACTGAAAAATAGGGTGAGTCCACATTAGAATCCTCGCTACTGGGGAGGACTTTCTACACAAGGTTAGAGATCACTTGTATTTTGTCTACTATAATTTTAGTCCATAATGCATTTTCTGGCACATAGTGGGCACTTGATAAGTATTCATTCAATGACATTTAGTAATTGAGCGCCCAAATATTTATGTCGGGTTGAGAGCTAGGGATAGGCATGAGTCTTTCTTCAACATCCTTCTGATTAGAGAGATAGCAGTATCTTCAGTTTATTTTAAAGCATCATGAAACACACTTTATTCTTGCTAACATTAGGAAAAGTGAACTGTTTTCTAAGCCTTGGAGGAAGGAAATTCAGCTAACATGTGAGATAATGTAGGGTGGCTATTTCTCGAAAGGTAGTGAATCATAGCTACAACCATAACTGTGGAAAAAAGTCCTGCCTTATCAACCACTCCATTGACTGCTAGTCACCAAAACTACGCTATGAAACAAATTGTGTTGAGTGACTTTCATTGTGAAAGACTTTGGTGAAGGGAGGGAAAGAAACTGGTAGGGGTTCAGATCAGAAGATCTGGCTTTGCCAGTTTCTGGAGGGTGTCAGAATGGCTTCAATATACCTACGTCCTTGGCCTCAACTGGAGGTTTTGTAGCTGCAAACAAGAAGGATTGCGTAGTTCAGAATAACCACAATGTAAGCTAATTGTGGAACTGGGTTAAAATCAGCATGTAGATCTACTAAGAAACACACTCAGCACTACTGCAGAGAGAAACATCAGAACCATTCTCCACAGGCCCTTCATTTCTGGAAGCCATTTCATTTTTACAATAGATTTATCACACACCATATCGACTTTTTACTGTAAAGAGAAAGTTAATATTCCTCATATTTTGTCTGTTGACAGAGTGAAAATAATTGCATTGGGTTTGGCTAGAATATCCTGTCATTCCAAAAATATCTCAAACTCCACATGGCTAAAACTTAACCCATCAATGCCCCCATCTACATGCTTGCATACATGCATATTACTTCATTTCTCAGTGTTTTTTTCTCTGTGAATGGTATCACCACACACCCAGTCCCCAAATCCAAAACTGCCCTGGGGATTTTCAACAATTACGGTGGAAGAAGCCAGCAGAGGACACTCAGAGTGCCCAGACAGGAAGGGAGGAGAAAAAAGTTCAATAAAGTGGTGCCCTGAGAGGAGAGTCTTTCAAGAAAGAGAAATACTTCCCCTTGGGCTTATCCTCTATTTATTGTTGCAGGGGCTTCCAAAATTAGGTTTTCTGTGTTCAGTCTTGCGTTCACACTTCTGAAACCTAGAGCTGACCCAGACAAATTCCTCAACTTCCTGTCAGCCCCAACATAGATTTAAAATTCCTAACCTGGCTTATGAGGTTCACCATGTATTCCTGCTTCTCTAAGTCAGACTCATATCACACCAATCTGTGTGTGGGGTGGCTAAATACACTAGCCAGGGAAGCTCTTTCAGTTCTTCTACCTGGCCCCGCTGGAGCCCTCCTTATTGCTCATTCCGTTCTTAGCCTGATTCAAGATTCCTGGTCCTTCACATCTCTCTTTACCTGTCCTCACCTGGAACTTTCTCTAGTTAGTACAAATTTTCTATCTACCATTGGAGCAAACATTTTTTGAAAGTTTGTATCAGTCCTGCCTTACTCTTGGTGGAATCCTGTGGTCCTAGCCAAGTGCCTGCTCCATTAATGTGCTGAATAAATGAATAAGCATTTTAATTATGTATCTGTCGTTAGTGTCAGATGTGTCATTCCAGCAGGGTTTTAACACACAGACACACTCTTTGATGCAGACTTTTCCTGTCTTTTCTTTTTACATATAGCAACAATAAAAAAACTAGACCTTCATCTCCTGAAAATATCAGTCTAATAATCACCTGTGACTGTCTCTCTGGTTGCTGAAGGGAAAAAACAAAACAAAACGACACAAAAACAACAACAAAAAAAAATCCAGGGCACACCTGGATTGCATTAGAATGAAACTCACTACCCAGTTCAGGTGTGTTGCGTCATGGGTCTCCGGCACATTTCAGAGGCTCATTAGGACCCTGACCCCACACTGGAGTTTACACCCCTAATAGCAGGTGTGTCCCGTGGCAACTGAGTGGGTGCGTGAAAAGGGGATAATCAAGAACCAGCTGGAGCAATCAGAATCGGTTAAAGTGAATCAAGTCAC